GGCCGCAGTCGTCAGTGATATCCGATGACGGTAGTATCATGTGTCGGCCATCCTCAGTACCGGTCGGCCAAATTTACTCCGCCATGCCGCACCTGTTGGCCACCGCATGTCCCACACTACTGCTAAAGTACTAATAGAGTACTAGAGTACAACTTCCTATTTCCACAATTATATGGTATTCTGTCGATCCTGGTCCAACAAGTGCCGATATCGGTGAAGACGAAAAAAATAAAAGCTCGTGACAATTGCACAGTACGGAGTCGCCCAAATAGGCATAGATCGGAAATCAAGAGTCAGCCGACAATCAATATCGAAGGGAAGAAGAGTAAGTGACTATCGATTTCTCGATGAAGCGATGGCGCACCGCTTATTCCTGATTGCTGCTGCGACTCCATCCTCTTCAAATCGCACTGAGGTTCAGCCTGCTGCTATAGTCGAAGCGCCTATCCCCAAAGTCATGGAGAGTCGTGGATTGTCTCCAATCAACAAAAACTCATAAATGTTTCATCACCCCATCCAAACATGGCCATTACTCTGTCGAATAAAAGAAATGTTATCGATCTCAAGCATCGCGACGTCAGAAAGCATATGACCTTAATCGGCATTATCTCTTAACTCACAAATATCCCATTGCCGTAAATAGACTCTCTGGAATATTTTTATCCCTTGTTTGGATTGGACAAATCAGAACGTCAAAATTTAGATATTTTGATCAGTTTTGAATCAGTTTTTCGAACGTGACTGATTCTTCAGTGGATATTTATGTCCCACATGCAATTATGTAAAGCGATAGTCCATCAAAAGCGGAGCATACTGTAAACGGACATCTACGTTCGGTCAGTTATAAAAATTATGTTATTTTTCCTACATATGACGTTTCCTCATGCTGCGACATTTTACAGCCGTGTGTTATACAAGCTATGCACTCTCTTATAAGTTATGTAATACTGCACTATAATTATTCGCTCGAAAACTGAGGTAGGTCAAGAATGATCCGGAGCAAGTTCCGAAGTGGACTTTCCTCCAGACTCGGGTTTTCTTCTGCCAAAGCTTGGACGTTGGCGCGGAAGCAGGAACATTGCCGGTTCCGCGCTTTGAAAGAATTAGTGGTCATCGAAGCCGAAACTGGTTAATAATGAGGGAAGCATTGTTTCTGTAAGCTAAAGCAATAAACGAACGTCTAATTTTCGCATTCAACGTAATAGCATCAAGCCACGATCCACCTCAATGGCTTCCCTAGACTTGCAGTGAAGCATTGACATATAACTC